GTGAAAGAAAATATTTAGACTTTCTAAAATATTAAATAAAAATAATATTTTAATATATTTTATTGTTGTTATTAATTTAAGCACGTTTTACTTTTTCTGTCATAATTACTTTTTCTTGCAAAAAAATGTTTTTTATTGAAGAACTTTGAAAAAAAAATCTTTCACACAATTCTGATTAATTTTACTGAATTGGTTCATTTGGACAATCAGTTCTGCTCGATTTTGTTTTATGATTTAATATGGATCATATTTATAAAATTCATTAAACTTGAACAGTTTAATCAATCTTTTAATAGATAATTAAATGAAAATACAACATTTTATTTACAAGAAAACAAGCAATTAAATTTTTTTATATAGTGCTGTCAAACAATTAATCGCATCCAAATAAAAGTTTTTGTTTGCGTAATATATGTGTGTTCTGTGTATATTTATTACATATATATAAATACACACACATACAGTATATATTTTGAAAATATTTACTTGTATTTACATGTCTATATTTATATAACTTATATTATATATAAATATATTTAATATATAAACAACATTTTTCTGAAATATATACATGCATGTGTGTGTATTTATATATACGTAATAAATATACACAGAACACACACATATATTACAAAAACAAAAACTTATTTTGGATGCGATTAATCGTGATTAATCGTTTGGCAGCACTAATTTAATTATTTATTTTGTATATTTTTAAAATTATTTTCTTTTTTTTTCTCAGTTCTGCACAACGGAAGCTTACTGGTTAAATTAAAACATGAATGAAAACTCTTGATTGTCTGATATACCATAAAAACATTAACATAATGCATTTTTTTACTAATTTGAGAAGCATGTTATTTTTTCTGTCATAATTTCTTCAAGTTAATCTTTCATGTTTATAAAAGGGAGAGTTCCGGTGCTTGATTCTGATTGGCTGAGCCATGTTTGAATCTGTTGTAAATTACTCTACAAAGTAACATACACCTTTGTTTACTTCTGTGTGTTGCTCAGCAACCACTTTGTTAGTAAATTACTCTACAAAGTAACATACACCTTTGTTTACTTCTGTGTGTTGCTCGGCAACCACTTTGTAGCAACCACAACTGTTTCTGAGGAGCTACATTGTTTGGTGGAAGAATACTGTTTTTATTAATATCATTACACTTTATTTGCTCTGTTTTATTTTGTGAAACCTATCTACGTATATGGATGCTTCGCGTCGTGCTTAGCTGTTATATATTCACTGTAAACCACGGCTTCTTGGGGCTTATTGCTTTATTTGGCAGTTGGTCACGAAGAGTGTTTTCTTGGTGTGAGTGAATCAGTTCTGGTTCATATGAGTCATGACTCTCTGTGCTCCGCAGACTCGTGTCTGGAGAACGACAGTCTGTCTCTGGAGGATCAGGCGGAGACGGCGAGTCTGCGCAGCCGAGGCAGTGTCCAGTCTCTGGGCAGCGGAGAGTCTGCGCAGCCGCGGGGCCCGATGCCCAAACGCCAGGCTTTCGGCCCCGGACAGGTGTTCAGCGGCACACAGGGCCAGCAGGTGTTAGTGCTGCCCTCCGCTGACCATCACCTGATGGAGGTCAACGTCACATGACCCGCCGGGGGTCACATGGACACAAGACTCACCTCCGTCACGCGCTTCATGAGACACCAGCTGTCTCTCAGATATCCCATAATGCCTTGCAGCCCCTCCTCTGTGTGCTCAGGCGTGTGTGTGTGTGTGTGTGTGTGTGAGAGAGAGAGAGAGAGAGAGAGAGACACCTGCTGTACATAATAGATGCGATTAAAGAGAATCTTCTGAACCAAATACACTCAATCATGATCACTCACACTGGGGTTCTGGGATTTGCATATTTAATTTTGTATTGGTTTTTGGAACTAAAAGTTTCCAGGGAAACGCCTGCGTGTTATTGACTCAAGACACGCCCC